CACAATTTTGAAGTTGCCTAGTTTCCACGGCGTGGGAACTGCCCCTCTACACCGTGGGAATATCTTCAAGCTCGACTGATCATGACTTTTCTGTGTCACACGTCGTGGGAGTTCTTCAAATCAAGTTTACAGCTCGTTGTATTCTCTTTCTTCCAAAAGTCTGTCCAGTTCTTTGAGGATGTTTTCTGCATCAAACTCATCTTCTTTCAATGTCATGTGTTGCTATGAATTGTCCTTCTTCCATTCTTATATCTCGTTCTCCATAAATGTATCAAAAATATAAACCGAGAAGACGGTATCATCACTAATCTTTGAATGCTTCATTCCTTGATCAACACCGAACGTAATAGCATCCGTTCCTACCCGAAGTATCAACTTTGTTCTCTGATATCCACCAATACTCGTGCGGCGCTAAAGAAAGGTCTCCCGAGAATGATCGGAATTTGATTGTCTTCTTCCATATCAAGCACCAGAAAATATGTTGGAAACAAATATTTTTCAATTTTAACAAGAAGATCTTCACAAATACCTCTCGGAAATGTGAACGTTTTATCAGCTAGATGAATTGCCATTTGGATCGGCTTCGGCTCCAGTAGATTGAACGTTTTGTAGAATGAATATGGCATGAGATTCACGCTTGCTCCAGAATCGCCACGAGCATGGCTTGTGACTAGACTGAAAAGGAAGTGTCAAGCTCCTTGGATCCCCCATCTTCTTCGGTAACTAGTTAAGCATAGCAGCTGAACAATTATGGTTTAAGATCACAGTTAAGGCTTCCTCCAATTTCTTCTGGTTTGTGAGAAGATCCTTCAAAAATTTCGCATATTTTGGCATTTGAACAACGGTTTCTACGAACAGAATATTTATTTGAATGGATTTGATATGCTCAAGGAATTTTTTGTAATCTCCAGCTTGTTTATCTTACTTTGCACGACTTGGGTACGTAAGAGGCGATTTGTAAGCCTTAACCAGAGGTTGTTCGGAATTTTTCTCGTATGCCCACGTCGTGGAAGTTTGCTCCCCACGCCATAACGATTGGGTATAATCCTTTTCTTTCTTCTTTTCTTCTTGTTTTTGCACATTAGATGAATTGTTGTTAGCTAACAGAATCAAAGGAGTAATAGTCTTACCACTTCTGGTTTTCACGACTTTAATGTGGGCCTTTGGATTGGGTTTCGTGTTGCTTGGAAGTGTTTCCGGTAGACGCTCGTGGAGTAATCTAGAGAGTTGTCTGACTTGTTGATCTATCTTGAGGATAGAGGCTTGCTGATTTCTTAGGATAACATCAGTCATGTCTTGTTTCTTCGCATATGCAGCTGCAAAACGTGCTAGCATGGACTCAAAGTCGGTTTTCTTTTCGGGGTCCGGTTGCTTCTTTTGATAGAATCCCTGGCCTTTTTTCTTAAACTTCTCTTCCTTATCCTTGCTATACTCATTATAGGGTTTCCACTACTTCTTAGGCTTCCTCCAATCTTCGTCATATCTATCCCCACTCGAATAACAAACTTGAGCCTTCCGGTTTTCGTTCTCGTCTAAGTCGTAATCCTTTGTTAAATGTGGACCGCTACAATTATCACAACCCACTTGAATCGCGTGTATGGATTGACCTATTTTTGTTATCCTCTGGTCCATCGTTTCGAGTTTAGAGATAATGGATGCCAAATTTCCCGATTCTTCATCTCCGTTCGCCTTGCTTCTTGTAACAACGTCTCTTGGATTATGATGCTCCCATGAGTGTTTTGCAAATTTTTCTATGAGTGCCTTATTGGTTGTAAGATCCTTCTTCTTCATAGGCCCTTAGGAATCAAGTAGTTGGTGACGGCACACATTGATTCCATTGTAGAAGGTGGAAATCTCTTGTTTCATGTTCAAGTCATGTTAATGGCAGTTCCAAAGCAATCCGGTGTATCATTCCCATGCCTCGTATAGTGACTCCCCATCGAGTTGTTGGAAGTTTTGGATATTCTTCTTTAGCTTGGTTGTCTTCGAATAAGGGCTAAATTATTGAATAAACTCGGTTCGTAAGTTGGCCCATGTCATATCGCTCCGGGTGGAAGTGAATTTAGACAATCGTTAGTCGCTCCTTTAAAGGTTACTGGAAGCATCCTTAGCAATACTGCATCCTTTGTAACGTTTGGCATGTTGAAGTAGTTCGCGATATCCAAAATCTTTTCAATATGCTTTTAGGTGTCCTCGTGGTCTTTCCCATCGAATGGAATATATATTTGAGCGTAGTAAGAATGCCTCTTGTTCACTTTCTTCCTCTAATTCGGTTTCGGGTTTGTATCCACTCTCGTTCTCGTCCGATTTCCTTTTAAAAAGTGAGATTACGTCTTTCTTTGTTTCGTCTTCTTCTACTTTCTTCTTATCCCTTTTCTTATTAAACAAGGATTTCAGATTGTCAAAACCAGCAACTAATTTGGATGAAGATCCTCGGGTCATGTACTACTAAAACAAACAAGTAAAATGTGCGTAAAACGAACAAAAACGAGAAAAATACAAATTGTTAGAACAGTTCCAATGGCGTGGACAGTCATGTCCTCGACGTGGCTACTGTAAAAAAAAACATAAAATTAACTTTAACATAAACAAAAAATTAACTTCTTATGGAATTAACTCCACAAAAAGGATCGATAACATATAGCAGATAAAATTAACTAAAATAAAACCACTCTCCGACAACGGCGCCAAAAAACTTGATACGAATTATATACTAGTTTTTCATTTATAAACCAAACAAATGTTAGCTAGCTAAAATGTAATAGGCAGTGTACCTAATTGAGCATTAGAATAGTTCAGTTAAGTCGGGTGTCGAACACAAGGGGAACGGAATGATTAAAAGCTAAAATCTCTACTAAAGTTAACTAATCTAAATTAAGTAAATAAGGGGGTTATTCTGATTTTTCAAGTTCAGAAAACTTAATTAATAGCAATAAACAAAAGGTAACTTAAACTTAAGCAGAAAAACGGTTTTTAAGACAATATTAAAGAATACTTTCGTTTAGATACGATTCATCTATTATGTATGGTTGATTTATGGATAGTGCAATGGATTTAAGTTCCGTTGCTTACCGATTCCTAATATAATTAGAATTATGTTCAAAGTACCAGTTCTGTGATTTAATGACATTATTTATTTAGTGATCAAGTGGACAAACAATCTAATAAATCAGTATTGAGTTCGAATTATGTAAAACTTGAAATAATGAATGATATTAATTGTAATTAACACCAATTCTATATATGAATGTTCATCATATACTAGCTACCAAATTAATTTACCAACTTGTCTATTTAATCCTAGGTTTTTTTTATCAAAACACTAGACCTATAATTTCATAAGTCACAAAATCATAAGATTTAAGCATATCAAGATAGATAGTTCATCTAATCCTAATAAAACTCAGCAATAAACAGAAAAGTTGATTTTGTTAACACAATAGGTTCTTTATCAAACAAGCATAATGAATAAGCAACTAACATAAATCCCAAATCCTTTAAATCAACATATAGAAGTAAGGATCCTCTACTATAAATGAAAGTTAGGGTTTTTAGCTCATAACTAATGCCAATAAAGTGGTAAAAACGATATAAGCTTTGCAAGTCATAATGATAACAAAAAAAAAACAAGTGTTTAGAGGTAATTTTGCCTTAGTTCTCTTCAATTCAAGCTCACAATCGAAATCTGGTCTCCAAAGCCTCCAATGGATGTCTCTGGTCATCAAAAGTCGGAAGTTGCTTTATGCATAAGTTAGGGTAAAGAGCATAAATGTCCTTTATATAGTTTCCAAATAATGTATCCCACGTCGTGGAGAATAGGTCTCCACGCCATGGCTTCCACTTTTCATGTGTAATCTCCAAGTCAGCTTTTCGTGATCGCGTATAAACACATTGCCTCGACGTGGTAGGCAGATGTACATGCCGTAGGAACTTTAGAATCCATAGCTTTGGATTTTGGCTGACTCTATCCAATCTTCCTGCTTCGAGCTCCGCATTTTTCTTCCTTTTAATCACAAGCATGAGTTCACTGCTACAAAATATAATTTGATCATTATAAGTACCTTTTATCCTAAATTAGACACAAATTTAGCTAAAAATACTAAGATAGTGCACAAATTATATGAATAAATATAGCAATATCATGTACTATATTGATGTGACATATGGCATGCTATCTAGTTTCCATGCTATGTAGATGTAAATGGTATTTTTGTTATATTATATAATAGTATAATCTTTGTGATGTGATCTATTATGTTTAGAACTCGTTCGGTATTCCATAACAAAGGTGATGTGTCTGAAATTGTCACTCGAAATAAATCCCGACTGGTAGAAAGGGGTTATAGTTAACAATAAGGAATAGACTATGATGAAACATACGTGTTGGTTTCTAGGCTTGGGAAAATAAATATCTTCATGGTATATGTGACACATAAGAATATAAAGGTTCACCAAATGGACATTAAAAGTGTGTTCCTCAACCATGAATTAAAGGGAGATGTGTATCTTCGACAACCTTATGGGTTTAAGAATGTGGATATTCCGAACCATTACTACAAGTTGATAAAAAAAACAATATATGGCCTTAAACAAGACTATCGTTCTTGGTATGAGACTCTAAGAAAGTTTCTTGAAGACTTCAAATTTTTTTACAAGTTGTTGATCCCACCCTTATCTGAAGATCCAATAATAAGCATCTCATGCTTTTCTAGATTTTATGTTGATGACCTTGTCTTCGGGGTCTACAGATGAAACTATGGTTGTTGACTTCTCCATACTTATGGTAAGTAAAATTAAAATGAATGTGAATAAGGAGATGAGTTTTAGGTATGTAGGTCAAACAAACGATGATAGATACATTTTTTATATCAAGAGGTGTAAACTAAGAAGTTATTAAAGCAATATTCTATAGACAATTGTGATGTTGCAAAGGTTGTAACATCCATATTTTGGGAGCTAGTTTTTTTTTTCTTTTCTTTCTTTTTAAGTTTTAAAATGTCCTCCAAAATAGTTAAATCAATGTGCTATATTACGAGTTATAGTTAGAATTCATTAAACGTGAACTAATTATATACATATATTAAAACCCAACACGTCTGTGAACAGTAAACTTCACAACTTTCAGACTTTCACCACGTTACTTTGTATGTATTCACTCTTTAGTCCTTCTATGTTTTCACCATCTTACTTTACCAATCCAAAACCCTACCACCATAGCTTTTCAAATTCTTTGGACTCATGTCTTTCTTCGTTCCCGACCCTATTCCAAGATGTGATATGACATGTAGAGAAAGCACCTAATGGTGGTGGACTAAACATCTCTGGTATGTATAAATGAAAGTTGTGAGGATGAGGCTTGTCATATCCTTGAGCATTGATTCTGGTCCACTCCTCATGGTATTTTCGATCATATAGGACAGCCTTCTTCTCAATAAAAGGTTCCTATGTCATATAGAAATGAAATTCCATGATTTTTTAATATTTAAGTATCATGTACAAAGATACATAATTACAACATTACTCAGAAAATCAGATGATATTTGATACCTTCATAGTTTTTCTTCTCAATATCCATTGTCTTTTTTCTCAGCATCCTGATAGAATAAGGCACCACCCATCCGAAGTTTCATTGAAGTAATGGAATTGAATTGTTGTATATCTCTTGTGTTATGTGTTAAGGTCAGTTTCACCATCTAGGGCAACTGTCTAAAAAATATCTTGTATGGTTAGAAGGTATGATAGGAAATATATAGTAGAAAGAAACAAAGAAAAAATTAGAATGCCAATTTGTTTCTTTAAATTTAAAAGAAACAAAGGGAAAGACTCAAAACTTTCCAATGCTTTAAGGACTGAGACATAAACCTAGAATATGATTATTGTGATGACCGGGTGAGATCAAAGTATTGAAGCATAAATATGTGAAAGGAACAATCTAGCAGAATCAGGTACTTACAGAGTAATTTACATGATGAGACAAACATTTGCTTCTTCCGTATATCTTTAGCTATACCTAAAACAGTTATTACCACAATATGAAATATGAATATAGCTCCCTTGCTTCCAATAACTGAGTACACCAACGTTACCTGAAAAACCTGAGATGGTTCAAGGATAGAGTTCGTGGAGGCTGACTTGAAAGAAATCAACAAAAGTGGCATTGATTTGTCGTCTGGTGGTGGTAATACTGGTTTTCGAGATCAAACCCAGAGATTGGGACCCATCGCACAAAAAACAGAAGGAAGAGCAATTGAACAGAAAATCAAAATCAAATGGAAACAACATACAACATACAACATACCGGAATTCCAAACAGCAACAGAGCACAGGTAGTTGGTGGCGGACGATTGGTGGCGGCAATAGAGCGCAGCCAATTGTTGGCGACAAAAATCGAAATCCTAAATTCTTAGACGGGAAATAGTCAGAAATGTCAAACCCACAAAGTCAGAGCCATCACACAAAAAAACAGAATGAAGAGCAATTGAACAGAATATCATAATCAAATTGAAACAACATACAACATATCGAAAGTACAAACAGCAACAGAGCACAAGCAGTTGGTGGCGGCAATAGAGAGCAGACGATTGTTGGCGACAGAAATCGAAATCATAAATTATTGGATGAGAAGTCGTCGGAGAAGTCAAACCAATAGGGTCGGGAACGAAGAAAGACATGAGTCCAAAGAATTTGAAAAGCGATGGCGGTGGGGTTTTGGATTGGGAAAGTAAGATGGTGAAAACATAGAAGGACTAAAGAGTGAATATGTACAAAGTAACGTGGTGAAAGTATGAAAGTTGTGAATTTTCCTGTTCACATACATGTTGGGTTTTAATATATGTATATAATTAGTCCATGTCTAATTATATAATATTATTAAGTATGAAAATATTACAGATAAGTAAAATTTATTGGGAATGTTACGTAAGAGGTCCTTGTAAAGAATATATTTTGACAAAAATGATCATTGAATTTACAAAAGAAGTTCCTATTTTACTGAATGTTACAAACGACGTCCATGTGCAGACAAGAAAATTTATAGAATTAGTCCTTGTAAGAAATAGAGAAAATGCCCACATGAAAATTTTGGTTCATATATATTATAAATAAATTGTATGATATAGTGTTTTAGTCCCTATAATTTTTAACAGACATTGTCTCAATGTAAAAACAAATTATATAATGTTCTTTAAATGTGCTAACAGTTTTAGAAATGGTTCTTGACTATTTAGATTAAAAAAAAAAAAAAAAAACCTCCTCACAATTATTAGTAATGTTACAAAAAATTCTATGTACAGACAATAATTAATCCTTGTAAAAATAAAGAAAATGCCTACATGACAATTTTGGTTCCTATAGATTTTCAATTTTAGGCAGAATTTCATATACCTCATTGCTAAACAGCTAAATATCCTATTCCCTACCTAAACCTTAAATATACCTCATTGCTAAACAGCTAAATATCCTATTGCCTACCTAAACCTTAAATATTATATTTGTCCTTCCTAATATTTTATAATATCATATATATCCAAATCTATTTTTTTATTATTTGTATTGATTTTTAAGCTTTTTTTATTATTTTAAAATCATTAAAACGAAAAAAAAAAAAACATTTTAAGTGGACAATATTGCCCTTATTTCTAAATTCCAATTCAATACACAGATCACGTTTTTTGTTCCACAATCACGTTTTTTTGTTAATCACGTTCACAACCTACTTCTTCCTCACAATCGCTGCTTCTTCCTCACGATCGCAGCTGCTCCTGTTGTCACACACACATCACGAACACGCATAAGGTAATTGATTTCTACCTTATTCCTATTTTCCATAGTTTCAATTTCGTTTCAGTTGATTTTGTTGCTGTTGATTGATTTGTCTACGTGAAAAGTATTCATACATATATGTGAATGTGTAAAAACCTATCAACTACGCATGATCATAAACCCATGCTATATTGATGATTCAATTTCGTTGTTGCTGATTTGAAAAAAACACTAATAAATACATTAAAATTAGAAAAGAACCTACTTATGAAGGTGACCTATATGAATCAGATTTATGTTTGTGTAGAAAGTCCAGATGTTCTCAGAACTGTCACCTGCAATTAGTGTTCACGTCACTTTCAATAAGCATCCCAGAATTCACCATCATTCTAAAACCTAAATAAGGACAAACTATTTTAATGGAATTAATCATTCCATTCCTTCCCATGATTGTAAATTGAATAGTTTTATAACTTTGAGTAATGAAGGTCTGGTGTCACAATCGAACATACATATAACTACTTCGCCTGGGCTTTTCATCGAATACCTGGAGTGTAGGTTTGGTGACACAATCACACCTTATCAAGAACAAAATCAAACGTGAGCATTTGAAGGAGGAGGCGATGGCACTTGATAAGTTTGACCACATTCAGTAATAAATATCAATAACTTCACGTCGACGATTCAATAAACAGCAACGAAATTGGAGAGATGGAAAATAGGTATAGGGTTGAAGCGACAAAAGGATGCGATTACCTGATGTTGTGCATGCGATCTCATGCCGATGGAGGATTGGAGTCTGAAATTGCAATCGTGATTGAGATGGAGGATTGGGCAAAACGTATCTGAGCACATAAGTATCAAGGGGCATTACTGTCCATTTAAAATGTATTTTTAATTATAATTATTTAATATTATGAAAATGAATTAAAAATAAACAAAAAAATAGATTTTGGTATATATGGTATTATAAAATATTAGGAATGACAAATACGATATTTAGGATTTAGGCCCGACAAATACGATATTTAGCTGTTTAACAAGGGCATATACAAAATTTTACCTAAATTGATATACAGTTTTAGTCCATATAGTTTTAAAGAGACATGATCCCTATCCAAAAACAAATTATATAATTGTCTTTAAATATGAAACAATTATGGAAATAATTATTGTCTAATTTTGTAATGGTCCTTAACTACAAGGACGAACCTAGGGGTTTCCCTTGAATTTCCCGGGCCAATATAATCCTCTCTAATAAATGAATGTTTTTTTTGCCACTTATCACACTCTCATTCAATTTGTCAAATGTTATTTTATGGTTATTTTGAATTAATTTTTTTTTTCACATGTCATTTTATTAGTTTTTCTATTTTATTAAATTCCATATAATATTTTAATATAACAATTGCAATAAATGTAGTAATAAATGGATATCAATTTCATTAATAAACTTACATTTTAATTTCAAAATTTCTAAAATTAAAACTCATTAGTTTATTTTCTTTATTTAAATTATTTGTTTAAATTTAAAAGATAAAAAACATTTTCATTATAATAATTCATTATTTTTCTTATTTTCTTATAAATTGAAAGTTCTCAAATATTTTGACCTTTATATTTAACTTTTTTTTTTAAATTAACTCATGTAATACATGGGTTTCACAACTAGTTTTTATTTTTAAAAAAAAATTCAACGTAATGTAAATTTTCCGACGGATTATCCCTAAAATCCTATGTGCTACATATGAGATTTTGTTATGGGTCACCACAACTTAAGAATGATAAAAGAAAATCTAAGATTACTCCTTACATTTATGACGAAGTAGAAGGGTTTCCCCGCGTTGCGGGGATTGGACAGTGTTGCTTTTATGTGAAACTATAGTACATTGCCTAGCCACTTTTAGGACACTACTTTTTATGGAAAACTATAATACATTCCTCAACAATTATGCTAAATTTAGGACACTTCTTTTGATTCCTGAGGATGCTACCATCAAGATCATCTCCATTCACATGTCAAGCTTCAAACAACCCAATTCCTACATAAAATGAATGAAATAATCGGTATAAACCACGAATGATTTATTAGAATTTCCACATTTCTGAAACTTATGGTTTATCTGAAATTATTACCTGAAACTGATCATGAAAAAAAAACCCCTAAACTATTAATTGACCTTAAAGGGGGTAAGTGAAGGGTGTAGTACCTTTGTTTAGTACTGTTACATTTTAAACAAAATTATGAAAATGCATTACTATTTCTTGTATTGACAACATTATAATTAAATATACATTTTTTACTGCAATTTTCAGCTCTGCTCCAGTAGTTTGCAACTATACATATTCTAAACTAACAATCCAACATGAAATTACAGTTAAGCACATGAAATGGGAACGTACTTTTGTGTGTTTGTGTATTTTAGCATCCTACTTTCACCCATTACTATTATAGAATTGGACTTTGTGAAAGTTATGGTTAGTGTTACCAAGGGCAGTTTGGTTGCTTTTGGAAATTACAGGGGAAAGGAAAAAGTAAGCTGCAGTGAAATGGTTTTGGATTTTAATTTTATTTATATATTTTAGAGTTCAAATAATTTTGAAAGGGCTCTATAACGGTTGGCTGAAAAGGGCATTTTGGTGAAAAGAATCCATTTTTACCTTTCTAAAACATTTTGAAATTGGTACCAATTTAAAAATATATTTATATTATGATAAACATATATGTAGACAAAACTTCTTGAGTACCTCTTCCCTCTTCTTGAAATTGGCTTCCCTAGCTTGCAGCTTCTATGTTTCTTCTTGAAATCCTTCAAAAATAATCATAAAAAACCAACAATTGTTATTAAAAAGAAGCGAAAATACTTCAGAAATAAACATATAAAGAGCACCTTAACCAAAATTATAGGTGATGATCTAAGTGAGCGCTATTTTGTTTCAAGGACTAAAATCAAAATACAATCTTTGATGTTTGCATGCTCTAAAAGAAAGAAAGTACACTTCTAAATTTGGTTATTACAAGGTTATATTTAGGTATATTTAAAAAAAAAAATTGAAAATGCAATGTTATATGATGATGGTTTCGAAAAAAGTGAAGATAAAATGCTAGATTTCTATATATCTTCCAAAATGGGATTAAATACATTGCTATATCAATGTTGTTTAAATAAAATCAAAATACAATGCTATATTCGGATAGATTTAAGAAATTATGATGCAATGGTATGTAAACATGGTATTTAGAAAAATGAAAGAAAAATGGTAGCATTGAATGGTATATAATGGTGCTTTCGAGAGTATAATGTTAAATTTGTGTATTTTGAAAAAAAATCAACATGCCAAAGGTAGGTTCTAATATTTTTCAAAAAAACATGAATATGAAATGTTATATCAGGACAATTTTCATCAAGTGTTTCTGAAAAAGTACCGTGTTTTAATTTCATTTTTTCTAGGAGTTCTCTCAATAGTGGAAACCTGAAATTAAAAGTAGCAAACAACATTAAATTTCCAAAGTTGACTGGGATATAACAAAAAAAATGGATTGATTATAAAACTATGCAGCCAAACCTCCAATCTATAGGTTTCTTCATGAACATGGAGACCTGTCACACCCAAACTTATGTTAACTTCACTGAGAATAATGACCAATGTGTATTTGTTATCAAGAATCCAAGATTAACCACTTACCAGAGTAGTGATGACACTACAATAGTGGGAAAAAAGTGGTCAAGCATTACTATGGACTGTTGATTGAATTTCATAAAGTTCATCCAGCTTAACAACCCAAACAACTCTAAATTTATCAGGACGAACTAGATAACATTAACATGCAATAGTTGAGGCATTTGAATACCATATTCTAAAATATGTACACTATGTAGTAACCGGAACATTTTACTAACTTATACCATTGAATTTTTTTTTTCATAATACTTTGTAATTTTTCATTAGTTCCTTACTTGTAAGCTACCACATGGCAATCTTGAACCCCTCGTCTTCATTAACTCCCAAACTTCATCAGTTTAATACCAGTTCCCTCCTTCTGCAAATAAAAATAAAACAAATTAAAAAAACATATCTCAAAAAGAACGACATGATATAGTCAGATGAAGATGAGATAGAATAAATCAGCTAAAAACAGGTGAAATTACGTGACAATACTTTTAAATTACTAACATCATTGATACACAAACCGTACAGATCACCATGGTTGCATCAATCAAAGGAAAAATATATGTGAAAAAACATAGGGAACGATTGGAACCCTAACCCATCCACTGAGGTACACGCCGACAATGATGTATGTCACATAGATATGTGAGTGGTCGGTGGTGGTAACTGCATTGGACGGAGGTGAAGGCGGTCTACAACTGGTGGCAGTGTTGCTTGTTATGGTGGAGCAAGGGAGTTGCGGTGGGCGGAAGAAAGGAAGAAACTTTACCCGTAATGAGAGCGTCTCTGTCTCCACTGTGGTAAATCAACCCTAATCAAGTCAGAGAAAACTGCTAATTGCGAGTAGTGAAACGGGAAATCGAAAATTGATTTTTTGGAGCAGATGAAGGGGTTCCGGTGTAATCAAACGACGTCTGTCGCACACCCTGAAGATCCCAGACCTTCAATCTCGAAGTAGATCCTTCTCTCTGGCGACGATGGAGGCGAGAAGCCGAGAATAGTGGTAGAGATTGGAGCGGCGGGAAGAGTGGAGGAAAGAAGCGGTGGATTACACATGCGTACATCCGATTTATGCCAAATGTGAGAAGGTGAGACAAGCGGTGGGGCGGTGGGGGATTCTAGAAAAAAGATGAACACTGGAAAATGATATAAAAGGAAGACATGAGCAATTGAGCATCTGGGAGAAAATCCTCCGATCCAAAAAGGAAAAAAAATTAAAAGAAAAAAAAAAGGTTTGGTCCAATCAGATCACATTACTGTTCCGTAAGGAACATGAAATTATTAGTATAATGTATAATGTTACATGACAGGTCTCTATATAGAAATCGTTTTGACATATGTGGTCCTTAAATTTACAGAATAGATCTTTATCAATGTTCTAAAAAAACTAATGAGTTCTAAATAAGAAAAATAATGAATTATTATAATGAAAATGTTTTTTTTATTTTTAAATTTAAACAAATAATTTAAAACTCTTTTTTTTTTTTAACTTGGATTATCCTTATAATTAGTTTTTGTTTTATTTTTAGTCCAAGAGTTGAAATGACTATTACGTGTTAGTGTTATTCTTTAAGTTTTATATCAATTTTTTTTTAATTATTATATAAAATAAATTATTAAATAAACCACCCCTAATCTAAGACACCACCCACACCTCGTCTCTACATCACCCCCACTATAAATTGTCGGCGTTAAAATTACAACTTCCCCATGTTTCCGGAGTATTTTAGTGAATTGTTTATGAGTTTTTCGTCGAACAAAAATTTCACCTATTTTTCTTGCCCTACCTTTGTAAAACCCTAACAAATATAAATCCTACACACGGATCCACCCCATTCTAAAACGCCGACGTAACTTTGAATGGATTGTTAGGGACCAAAATCAATGCCTCTCTTGCTATTGGTTCCATCATATCTGTGTTTTTAACGGTGTAAGAGAACCAAAAGAAATAGTTCTGATCTAGTGAAAGCAATCCTAAAAATATACGGAGTAATAGACAGTGTTCTTTCTCTTTCTCTATAGCGATAATGATTTAGAAAAAAATGGTTTTGATCTACGAATGATGGTGCCGACGAGCTTTCTAATGAGAGACTGTAAGAAATAGATTTAATCTAGATAAGGAAACCAAAATAAATGGGTTACAAATTGAAAAAAGGATATGAAAGATGTAGGAGAGT